CCTCCACCCGTGACCGAATGTGGCTGCTTGTGTCTCTTGGAAAATGTGCTCATGAGACAGACATTATGGCTCACGGATCTCAGATAATGCAGTTGGGACCTACACGCTCTCCTGAGATGAGGGAAGAGGGACAGCCCGATGAAGGCAGCGGGGAAATGCTAACCAGCAACCAGACTCCCAGGGAACTCGCCTTCCTGTGAAATACTGGGCACACTAGACTGACTTGATAAGATGTCTGATTTATAGACTGTTGTCAGAGCAGTGGGAGTTTACTGAGTTTCAAGACTGGAATGTAACAGGCTAAGATGCGGATGGGTTCTAGGAAGCACAAATACAAAAATCAGTGAAATTTGCAGTTCACAGGAGGACTAAATTATATAATTATGTGTGGTGAGCACAGAGGTCTTTAAAATGGTTTCACTCTTAGGCTGATGAACCAGTGAACATAGAAGTGATTTCTGTATCTTTTTATTTAAAATAGTACTTTCTGCTGGGCTCTGTTTATGGTAATCTGGGGGCTTTGGGTTACACCCCACCACATTCTCTCAAACCTTTTGTTGAGCATCACCAACATGTCACCAGCAACAGCTATACGGGTTCTGTTCACAGTGTTTGCTGACTGCTCAGTATGAACCAGGAGCAACTCTAGGCATTTTGAAAAATGTCAACCTCACCGTAACCTTATGACTTAGGTATATTATTATTTCCATCTAAGCCTCAGGGCTCAGCTGAGCCTAGGACACTGGGGCCTAGAAAGGTTACGTTAACCTGGTCAGAGTCACATCAACCAGGGAAACTTGGGAATCGAGAATCAAAAATTTTGTGTTGATTTTTTTCCCCAATTCTAAATAGAGAAGGGTAAATAGTAAAAATAATAACCTTTAGGAATATCTAGATTCAGGGTATAGCCGAGAAGATTCCTGGACCACTGAGATGAGCCAAGAAATCGAAAATGTTGGCGTAAAATCCCTGCAGTCCAGGGGGAGCTGCAGGCTTCTCTTCTGCCCTTTTTATTCCCTGACACTGAATACCTTCACCTGGAGGGTTGAACCAGATGGAAGGTTCCGCGGAACTCACTGGGTGTTCATCAGCACGTCTCTGGATCGCTATATTAAAAAGTTATGCCCTCGTCCCAAATAGAAACTTGATTCCAAAAAAGCATGCATGTGCACAGCCCTAAACAGATGCACTCAAACTAATATTTCATCCAGGAGACATGACTTGGGCGTCCTAGAGAATGAGTCTGAACAGTCCATTTCGAAATGATTCTACAGCCGCACCGGCTCAACAGAACATCCCGCAGGGATGGACATGTTCTGTGTCTGCCCCATCCAACGTGGCAGCCTCTAGCCACTTGTCACTACCCGCTCCTTGCAGTGCGACTGTGGAGACTAGGGAGCAACGGAACGTTCACTGTTACTTAAATGGTTTCGATTTAAACAAACAGCCCTATGTGTGGTTACCGTGTGGGACCGTGCAATTCTAGAGGCTAAAGATTCGATCCTGACAGATGTCCTAAAATTCTAAACATACCTGTCCCTCATATTCCCTTCCTGACTCTCTCTGGGAAGGAGAATGAAGAAGTGGGTAGAGAGGGAAGGGAAGGGGTGGTCGAGTGCAAACGTAAAATCGTTTTCCATGTTTATCTGTCCCCAAATCAAGCTGTGCTTTGTTGACGAAATTCGGGAAGGTTGAAGAGTTGGCAGGCCTGCCTGTCCCTTTGCCTGCATGAACATGTCAGCGCCTCATTAATCTTGTGTTAAACTGTGAGGGCCCTTTTCCCTCCTACCATGGGCCTATTTTTTAAAGGACATTTCGGTGCCCTTTTGCATTTTGCAGTTAGATTTTCTTTTAATTTACAGCTTGCCCTGTGCATTAACTTAAGCACATATTTTCCTTGAATATATCCCGATCATTGGCAAATTGACACGAGAGAAATTATTTTGGGGATAGGGAAGTTAAAATGTGTTGTGTCATGAGTTTTGGAGGAATGGACTTGGTGTTTATTTTCTGCAAATTAGCGTGATGAGTCTCTGTGTGATCTTTCTCCAGTTTTTATTAGTCTCTCAATGAAATGATTTTTATCGCACATGTGGTCTTGGTGATTCTTCTCTTTCCAAGAAAAAGACCTAGAAGTCTTTTTTAGACATAGAAGTGGAGTATTTTTTTCCCTTAACAGTTTTTGTCATTTTAGTTCAGTGTAAGGATTAGATGAAAATGTCTCTAAATGATACTGAATATTTTAAGTCTTAAGCCTGCAGTGCCTTGCCTTCCAGGTGCATGGTGATGAATTGTTAGTGCTTTTTTTTTTTTACTCTGAAGACAGACATCTAGAATAACCACTTTCTGTATTTCCTGACACTGGAAACAGTTACCGTTTGGATTCCTTTTATAGTTTCTTACACTAACGACTCCAGTGACCACTCAGTTGTGGTCTCGTAGTAAATCACAACTTCTTTGAAAGAGCCAGCTGTTATATAATTGTTGCTGTCCCGCGAAGCCATCTCCCTAACTAAAAAGAAAGGCAAGTTTCTGTTGTCTCAGATAATATGGACTCTGTTCCCACACACGTCGTTCTTTGAAAATAAAAGAATAGACCGTTTTCTTCTCTTTTCTCCTTCCCTCTCTCTTTTTGAAGTGGATACAACTGGTGAGACAGGCACACAAGCTTCGGGCTGCGTCAGATCTGGTTGGTCAATCATGGAGAAAGCAAAACACCACTCCGTACACTTAGCCTTCAGACTCACCTCCTCCCCTGTCTGGCTTGCCTGAGCTGGAATTTGGGGTTTCACAATGACTGGGGAGCAGGCTCTCAGTTGTTGACTTTGAGTGTTGATAGAGTGAAACAAATAAATAAAACCATGGGATGGCCCGGCTGCTGCTGGGAGTCAAGGTGAAGACCCCTGGAGGGTCCCCCCACGCAGTCATCCTGGGAGGTAGGATGACCGTACTCCTGGGTCCTGGGTCTGCATCTGGGTCTGAGCCTGGGGTGCACGCAGGTAGCAAACGCGGGGCCCGAGGGCCAAATGCGGCCCTCCACCTTGTTTTATCCAGCCTGGCACCTTGTTTCTACCCGGCACCAGCGCCGAACTCGAACTCTCGTTTAACCGTTAAAGGAGTAGTTACATTTACACAGTCCTAAAATTACATTGGGGCCTTTGAAGGCAACCATGAGGCTGATGTGGCCCCCGGTGAAAATGAGTTTGACACCCTGGCCTAGGGGCTTGGTGTGAGGATCATAGCCTCGGGTGGGCAGAAATGAGGGTCTGGCAGAAAAAAAAGTCAACCAATCAAATCAACCCAACCCCTTGATTCTGTCCAGGAGCTTGATTCTATTGGTCACAGCCTGCAGCTCCTTGCCATCTTTGAGGCAGGGACAAGGTGGGGGTGGGGTGGGCAGAAAATCAGCCATATTTTGCCAGGATACTTTTAGGTCAAAGTGGGGAACACTGGAACTTTGAAGTTTGGCAGGCGTTGGTTGGTAGGGTTGGGGCCCACAAAGGGGGCCACTTTGTCAGGCCAGGCTGACCATTTGCAGGCCCAGGCCCAGCATTTTCCCCTCTGCCCAACTCAGGTGACGAAACCATGGCATTGCCCAAGGCTCTAGAATTCCGTGCCCGCTTCGGCCCACTTGGAGAAAAGGCTTCCTCAGAAACTGGGGCCGCAGGATGTGCCAATCCTTGTAAAGCGTTTCACCTCTGCAGAGACTCCTGCCTCTCAAAACCAAGAACAATTAAAGAGCGAGTCTTTCCAAGCAACGGGGGAATTGAGCAAAATAAATCAGAAATCCTCAGCCTCGGCCCTGGAGGTTCGCCTCATTATGAGAGCAGATCTATTAGCCCTCTTGCCATTGTCTTTCATTTCTCAAGTGAGGTGATTCTAATTAAATTAATCTGCATGTCAATCTATCGGTGATCAATCAAAGAGCCCGAGGTCCCCCCTGTGCTGCAGGGTGCTTGCGGCTGACAGGGGCTGATAATGGAGGAAGAAATAAACTGTCGAGCAAAGTTAATTAGTCAACATAATAGGTGGATTAAACGGGAGCTGGCTGATTGCTGTTTCCCTGTGTCAAAGCATGAGGTGGGAGCCGAAGCTGCAATTACAGACAATTATTATATTTGGTGGTAAGAGGTCACATGAATAAACATATCTCTGTGGGTTTCAGTTTTAATCCTCTCCCCCATTTAATATGAGGAGAAGTGTAGGTCATTTCTTCTCATTGTTTTAGTCAAAATTCTCCGAGAGACACCTTGGCCGTGTCCCTTCTGGAAAACTGAGTTCAGAGTCAGTTTTCGAGGTGGCCACGGTATCTGAGTTGTACCTTGGACCAGTGCCACCATTTTTTTATTTTATTTTATTTTTTGCCTTTAATACATAGATCTAAGACCCTTACTGAGCAGGGAGTAGCAGTGGTGGTGGGGATGGTGGCAAGGCGGGGGCTTCAGTCCGATTAATTGAAGTAATGTGGGAAGAAAAATACCAGAAACCGCCAAAAAGACAGCCAGGAGAGAAAGCCGCATCCCAGCTCCCACTGAAGCCTCTCGTTTTCATTTCTCTCTGCTCTTAACCCTGACACATTGGGGGTGGGAGGAGAGGGGGATATTTTAAAGATTCAAAAGATTTTTTATTTGCATGATCAACTGTGATATCTGCTTCAGTGTCTAAACTGAAGGGTAATTTAGGTGAAACACAACCACCCTTGTGTAAAAAAAATATGCTAATAAAGATCCTCTTGTTAAAATTATGGTTAACAGTGTACCTTCTGCTGTATAACTATAAACTGTGCAATTTTACTTAAAACTGCATCAAAAGCGTTCCATGCCAAAGACCCACTCATCAATAGCTCCTCTTGTTAGACTTGTACAGCATAAGCACCAGTTATTATGTGAAATAGCTATGCAATTTTCTTCAGCTCCCAGCTGTTATTTATTTAACTTGAGTTTATTACCCTCCATGCTTTTACATTAAAATGTTCATTCATTTCTCTCTTCCGTCTCCAGGTCGTGGTGTCTACGACAGTCAATGTGGATGGCCATGTCCTGGCGGTCTCTGATAACATGTTTGTCCATAATAACTCCAAGCATGGGCGGAGGGCTCGGCGGCTTGACCCCTCGGAAGGTACGCCCTCTTATCTGGAACATGGTAGGCGAATCATTTTCATTGGTTGGCATTGCTACTTTAACTGTGAATTTATTTGGTTTCTTTCTTCCAACTCCACCCCATTTTCTACCCCATTTCAAATGTCAAATGTCCTGCTGAAGAATATTGGTGCTGAGTAGCTACACACAGAAAGATATCTCTGAGTCCCGTCTTTCCTTGTTGCACAGATTTCTACGCTGGGCACGGCTGGTGTATCTTTCCTTTTTGATGAGAGACAGAGAGAGACCTAGACCACTGCTTTATGTCCAGCTTCCCCTTGACTGACGAACAAAGGCCAAAGCAGAGTAGCAAAAATCAGGATACATTTTGAGCTTACAATTCACTTGTTTGTATAATGAACTTCATTCTCCTTACACTCCTATTGGTGTATCTCTGCGACTACAAATTTGACTTCATTAGGAGATAAAATCCAAACTCTAGGTTAGAGACACTTTCCGAATGTGAAGCCTTAACTAAATGTTCCCCTTGCCCCATGCTGTCCCCTCCCGTCAACGCCACATGGTAGAAGAGCCTGCTTTCTGTAGGTAGACTTTGGTGGGGAGAAATCACCAAATTTGTCTTGTATTTTTGGCTAATCAGTTTTGCCTTTGAGAGGATGAGTAGGAAAGCAGATAAAAATTTGAATGAAGAAAAGAGAATGCCATTTGAAGGAACCGAGTATATGTCTGGATGTCTCAGAGCTACAGGTGTATGCAACACCTGAGTCCATACCCCCATCTGGCCATCCCCCCATTCCCAATGCACCGTTCCTCTGTCCATCTATCCATCCGCCCATTATTTTACCTGCCACCCACCCTGCATCCATCCATCCATCAATCCATCCATTCATCAATACCCATCTTCCATCCATCCATCCATCTAAGAAAGAGAAACTGAGTCTGCTGGATGCCAGTCACCATGCTAGATGTTCTCCAGTCTCCTCAGAAAAAAAAACGAAACCTCTTCACTCGTTTTCCTACTTCACTTTCCAGTTTGCTAGGTCAGCAGGATTCTTGTTAAAACCCTACCACACGAACGAACATCTGATGGCCTGATTTTCCGCGGGCCTTGAGCTGTCCGTGCTGTAGTTCATAAGGTAGAAAACTCCTTTTTCTGCCAGCATCCCAATTCAATGGACACACCATTATCATCATTTCTAGCCTGTTTTTTTCCTCTGTGCTTAAGGAATACACAAACCGCACTTTTTATTAATTAGCCAGATGTAACACTCTTAGAAGGGCTTCTTCCCCACATCCAGTTTTGCTGTCCTTTTAAGGTAAACCATCATCTTTCAAAAACTGCTGCTTTATGGTTTCATTAGTGCCGAGACGGATGGATATTACTTTTTGCAGGAGGCCATTTGAAACACTTGCTCATGATTATACTCACAGTTCCATTTCTGTACTTAGAATTATTCTGATCCTCACTTTATAGTAATATTGCCTCTTTAATACCGTTGGAGTCACTTAAGGCATTATATGACTGGAGCTGTTTGGATAAAAGGAAGAAGGAAAAGGCAGGAAAAGGCAGGAAAATACTCACTGGCACACTTTGGAGCACGCTGGCTTTTTTTTTTTTTTTAAGATTTTTATTTATTTATCTTTAGAGGGGAAGGGAAGGAGAGAGGGAGAGAAACATCAATGTATGGTTGCCTTTCGTGCATCCCCTGCTGGGAACTGGCCTGCAGGGAACCTGTCTGCAACCCTGGCATGTGCCCTGACTGGGAATCGAACCGCGATTGTCTGGTTCGCAGGCCCGCGCTCAATCCACTGAGCTACACCGGCCAGGGCTTGGAGCACGCTGGCTTAAAAGCTGACGTCTTGATTTGGACTGTGACCCATGTGTTATTGTCCTGTCTGGGGACACACTTGACTGTCCCCTTGAAATGTGTCAGTCACGGGTTCACAGTTCCCAAGTGAGCTCCAAGTCCAGACCTCACTCAGCTCTTATTCCTGCCCTTGGGAAGTGAGTGAGAGAGCACATGACGCCAGGCCAGCATCCCTCCACCAAAGAAACCCAACACGGACCAGCAAAAACAGCTGGCTAGAGAGGACACCTTTCGGTGTGGAGGTCAGGAACATCATTTTGCAACATGAGGTGTTGGAAAGAGTCAGAACACCTAAATTCAGTGTATGGTTTCACCTCTACCCTTTCTGTGATCTCGGACAAGTCAATTTACCTTCTGGGATCCTTAATTTTCTTATTGGCAAAACAAAGGTGATGATCTGCAGGGGGAAGGAGGGGGTAAAAGATGTGCGTCTTGGCCCAGGGCAGGTCACACATGTTGGGGAAGTGGGCTGGGTGGAGGCTGCGGAACCGGGGTGAGTTCACGCTCTGCCACCCAGCCCCAGGCAGCTGTCACCGTGGGGAGTGAAAGCCCGGTGGGGCCACATGTTCCATTTTGGCAAGAATTAAAACTCTCCTAATTTTTAATTGTTGGTAACTAATTACAAAATTTGTAAACCCTGAAGACATAGGGTGAGGCGGGACTCAGGAGGAGGGTAGCCGTGGGCTAACAATTTGCAGTTTTTAAGCTTCCACCCAGCGCAACTATTCTCACTTCTAGGTGTACATATTAATATTTCAGCTGTGATGTCCTGTTATTCTGAGTTTTAAAGATAACATTTTATGCCTCTGCTCGAGTTTACCAGTCCACAAATGCCCATTAGCATATTATTCCAGAGCATGATGATATCTCACTATTTATTAACGGTTAGTCATCATTGGAGAGGTGGGTATGTTCCACCCCCTGCAGCTAGGGGGCCTCCCTCTCACCAAAGCCTCACTTCCCTTCTCTCCAGAAGAATAAAAGGGTAGGCACCTGCTTCAGGTTCTTAGTCAGGACAGTAACATGGAAATCTGCTTCTCTGTTGAATGAATCAGCCACCCAGACATAACCACCCACTCATGTAGACACTTCAGGCTGATAGCCACATAAATATCTTCTCAGCAAAGGGTGACTATGGGCTCCTTCACTGGTGATGCTAATTCACATTGAGTTGGGGTATGGTAATACTTTATCTCACCCTTGAAAAGTCCTACTTGAAACTGTCCTTTTTAAGACTTACAGAACCACGCCCCCCAGCTCCTCCATGGCCATACTCCTGCCTCCCAACTGCTGCTGCACAGTGAGACCACCAGGTATTTTCACCTCTCAGGTGACCTGTAAGAAGCTTCGTTTTCCCTCATTCTGGGCTTTTTTACCATGTCATTTACAGGTAGCCCAAATTATTTTGAGCTACTCGGCACATCTCTATTTATATCCTGCTTGTCAGGCAGTCGGAGGAAAGTTCCCTTTCATGGCTCAATCTTTCTGCGTCTAAAAGAAATAGAGACTGTGCTTGACATTCATGCCATTTCCCTGTGTGGCCCACAGACTCACAAACCTTTGTGCTCAAATAGCCATCCCCATATTTCCAGTAGGAGTGTTGACAAAGGCAAATTTATTCCCTAGAATCCTGTGTGATCCAAAGCGGGTGACTCCCTACGCACTGTGGCTCACGGTAATTGCTCTCTCCCTATTTTTTCTTCATTCATAAATACTGAGAATTTCTTCGGCTGGGTATTTATGGGAGAGTTTAAGCTCGTGAGGTTTCCTCCTTAAGCAGTGGCTTTATGGCAGATGTGCAGTTGAGGAGAGAGGCAGACTCAGGACGTAACTGCTGTCAGGGATTCGATTTTGGAACAAGCACAGGCACAGGGCCAAGGACCCTGAATTGTCACCAAGCCCGCCGCAGTAACGGACAGCTCTGGCTTGCGTGGCCGTGCTGTCTTCCCGTCACTTGGGCAAATTCCTGGGACTGTGTGCTGGGGATTTTCAAAGGGCTTGTGGAGTGTTCATATTGTCATTGTTCTCCTGAGTTGCAGGCTGTGTTTACTTGAGTCGAAGGCCAATTGTGGCATCGGTTTCTCTGTTTTTTTTTTTTTTCCCTCGTGGCAAAACGCGGTGCCCTCACAAAGCTATAGTGCAGAGACCCTGTCAGCTTGCATGCGCTAAGGCTTTATTATCTAATGATCTAATATGCAACAAGGCAAAGAGCCGGTGCTCATCATCCTGACACAGAACGCCGGGAGAAGTGACTGAACTACTTTATGTACCATTAGTGCGAGCAGCTATGGTGAACTCACCGGCAGCGTTTATGCAAATGCCTGTGAATACACTCCCGTGGCTTTGTCAGGAAGCTGTCTGATGAGCAGTTTAAATGCTCATTTTTTTAGGGGACCTTTTTTTCTTTTATTTTGATATGCATGTGTTTTTCTTCCTCCCTCCTTTTTCTTCCTCCACCCTTCCCCCCTTTTGGACTGTTGATGGACCGTCCCTGACCACTTGGGGAGTCTGAGCCGGTGGGGAGTTCAGTCACCAGCAGCTGCCCTGCCCCAGAGTGGGGTTAAGACCCTCATCTGGTGTTCTTCAGATTTTGGGATATTTGTTATTGTTATGCGTTCATACAATCTTCATATTTATTTGAAAAATTAGTAGAACTATTGTTAATCAAGAGTTTTTAGAAGATGAATATTTTAATGTTTCTGAGTTCTGACCTGAGGTCCTATTTGGTTTCTTGGCTCAAATACAGATGCTTTAACACACCCCTGCTTTTGAAAATGGAAAACAATGGAAATGTAGCTTTTGTGGGCGTCAGATACAAATGAATTAAATTTCCCTTCAAAGTAATTATATGGGTTGAGATGTGAAGTATACATGTGCCAGGACCGCAAAATAAGTCAAATCAAATCAGCAGTGGGGTTTGGTCAAGCTAAGAATACTGCGTAGAAGAACAAGTGGGGGTAGACTCACTGGCCCTTCTTGCTCTGATTACTGCCTTAGAGAAGTAGAGTCAGATTTTCCCCCCCACCAGTCAGCTCTGACCTTTCCACTGTGGTGTGCCCTTCCAGCTGTCCCTGACAATATGGTGTTATTCTTGCTCTTTAGCATTTGACCTTCTTTAATCCTTTTGCTCCACACAGAAGCAGTGTTTGCTTCCGTCGGTTGCCCCTGGGTATCC